TTTTATATTTCTTTTTTCTACCTCAAAATATTTTTTTCTCTTTATCACTATTTTTTTATCGTTTTTCGACCGCACGTGTCTTGTTCGTCTTTGTCCGTTCTCATTCTCTCTTTCTTTTCGCTCTTGATCGTTTATCGGGTTGCCCCGGTTCGCTCTTTGATACTCTGGCTGATTGGAGTGTACGCAGCCAGCGTGGAGCATTAAATTCAATCGGAATCTATTTTTTCCCGCCGACATGTCGGCGCAGACAAATTGTACTTCCCACACATGCCGATCCTATACAAGGCCGGAATGTTTGATTCGTTATTTAGAACCCGCGTTCGATTTGCACTCGAATTTGTGACAGGGAAGAAATGGCATTTTCGCAAATGCTTGCACCTATTAATAGTCATATGTTTATTTATCATTAACTCAAATGTGAAATAATTTCAATATGTACGTATACACTTACGTATATTTATATTAGGGATCACGTAAATAAATATCAAGCAGATGTTCTTAGCTGAAAGTAGCAGCAAAAGTGTTTAGTTTAATTTAACTCTCTGGAGCTGTGACGGTGGGTCTATTAGATCCACTCAATTGTAACATATATTATTATATTTGGATATTTTTGATTCTTTGTCAAAAATGTCCAATAATTTACTTTTCTTTATTTTATGTCTACAAATTTGAATTTTTATTATTAAAATAAATTTAGTATTTACATTTTTTTATACAAGTTATGTCTTTTTTTTTTGTAATTAATTAGTACCTTTTTATTAAGGATATATCAGGTATATAATCTCCGTAAAAAGTGGCTGGAAAAAATTTCAGTAATTGTTACAGATTTTGGCGTCAACTCCGGAGAGTTAAAGCGATAGTACGAAGAGTAGAAATTTATGCTACTATATTCCGTATAAATAATTTTTTGCTTTTGCTACAAAATTATCATTATTTGTTTGTATGTTTGCTTGTATGTTTCGTCGCTAGTTTAAAAATTAATAATGTATCTACTTATAATAGCATGCAAGAGATTTGCGATATGAATAATCAATGATATTTGTAAAACGACGGGATTAAGAGACATCGAATGAAGTTGTGTTTATCGCTTTATTTGCGTATTACAAATTTTCCCGATCGCATAGTTGATGAAGTACGTTAATCTATCGAAAAAGCCCAATTAGTTTTCGATACGTTTCAGTCAGATGGATCAGTGCATGAAATAGCGGAATTTAATGTTTTCGCGACAGTGCCATTAAAAAGTTAATTGTTGATCGACCGACTTTAATTTTAAGCGGAAAAAAATGCTACGGCGAATATTACGCTTAGATGTAATGCATTTTTACTGCAGCAATCTCTTTCAAGCAAATGCTCGGCTGCTCGCCAACTTTTTTAATTATCGACAACTACACGATCGCAAAACTACAATAATACACGATAAATGAAATACGGAATTTTTGTTACAGTACGTAACATTATTGTCTGTGTTTTGCATGCGATAAAGGAAAGGAAAATCGAGGGTGAAGGAAAGTGTCGTCTTTAGAGAATGGTATTTTCCTTTGAAATTTTAAGACTTTGTAATCTAAGCAACGGTGAGATGCTTTGAATCTTAATGAAATCCGTGCCGATCGATTTATTTGTATCGCTTATGCCAGGAACGCGAACTCCACAAACGTGTAACATAAATATGCGATGTATCCGCATAAATGCCTACATACATATGTACATCTGTATAATATCGTTTGAATAAACATTACGTCGCGTTAGATTAATTTCTTTTCAAACATGCAAATACAAAATATTCAATTGAGAGAAGTATTAATCCTATTTTCGGTCAAAATGGATCTTAGTGCTTAAATATTTTGGTGTGAATTGGATATTTATATATACAAATATCCAATTCTGTGTAAACCGCGCGTCGAAATCTTGAAATGCAATCATGAACAGACCTGGAATATTAAAATTGACAAGTAATTTAATAATATTCACGTTAATAAGTATCTTAAAAACTGTGAATAATTTACTGCGAAAATTATTTCTACTAGGATTTGAATCTGGATTTCTTTCTAAAATGTACGAAATATTCACTTTTTAAATTTTGTGATCTCGCGGAACGATAGAGTTAAACGAATGAATTAATGAATGAATCTACATCGAAATGATTTCGAGGTCGTGGCATTCAGAAGCGATTATTACGGTAACATATGAATTTGGGGAAAATTTGTGACTGTAAAGTTTGTATATAATTATACGTGGGACAAAATATCGTGCCCACTTATACGATGCACGCCGTTGAAATCTCTGCATAATTTCTATCTAAAGGGATTACGTAAAAGCTCGCGGGAAATTTTTTCTATGGGATAACTTGACAGTTCTAATATGATTTGTAGAAAAAAGTACCTATGTATGGTATGGTTGAAAGAAACGAACTATATATATATAAACTTTTACATTGTGTTAAGAACAGTTAAGTGAGAAAAAGTTCTTATGAAACTGGCAAAACTTTCTTTTTAAGCGATTGAAATTAAACGATCTTCCATGAAGAAACTTTCATCAGTGCAAATAAAGATAATCAATCCTTATTCTTCATTTAATTCCAAATGGATTTTATGCGAACGGAATTTTAACGTGATGCTTAATTACCAAGATATTGAATGTTAGAAAAAACGTAAAAATCTAGTATCGAATTAAATCTGTGCTGAAAAAAAAAATTAATTTTGGATTGTTAAAAGTTCCTGTTCACTCATCACTATTTCATAGTTTGTCAATGACGTCAGAAGCAATAATAAAATATACAATAAAAATTCTTGTACAGAATATTAATATGGAAATATGTTTCAATAAAATAACACAATCGATGGAACCGACTTGTAAAATATAGGTACCAGAAATTATCCTTTTCATTAATTAATATATTACCATATATTTGAAATTAGTCGTGTAATAAAAAATTAGATATATTCACGGTTATAAAATCATATTTTTTGCTATATATTATTAATTTAAAAAATTATGTAATAATATATAAACATAAATATGATTTAATTTCTCCTCGAAACAAGAAGATAGTTTTCGAGGAGATTTTATAAATTTATTTTATCGATTTCAAATGTTGCGTTATTGAAAGATGTTTCTATTCAAGTATAATTTCTAAAGAATTTTTATTGTATATTTTCTTGCTTTTGATGTCACGATCTGAGATAGTAATGATGAGGAAACAGGAACCTTAAGAGATTAAGACAAAAGGTTCGTAGATTTTTAATATTTTATAATTTATGGATATTAATAAACGCGACATTGTATTACATCAAATGGACAATCAACAGATTACTCAGTAATTTTTTGCGTAATAGTATTACTTACAAATCATATTTTCTCGCGTAATATAATAGTAACTTATCGTAATGAGCTGTGATGTGATCTTGTAATACCACTAATGGCCACAGCGTATATCTAGATCGCAAAATGGGTGTAAAAAGTGCGACATTAATTAGCCACATAGCTTTTTGCGTGATCGATTAAATTAGCCCTGTCTGATAAAAGTTACCGAGGAAATTGTAAGAGATACCGCGGATAATTAACGTAAACAGGCTTTACTGAGCACTTTAGTAAATGCGCTTGCTGCAAAAACTATCTGTGATTTAATAATACTTCTTGATATAATTTATGTGTCCAACAGACACATCATTGTTTTTATATAATTAATTATGTTTTATCATATACGAATATTTCAAAATATAAGCTTGAATTTAATGACAGATTTTTGATAAACTTGAAATTAATTTTAGTTTAATGAAAATATGTATTTATAAAATTTCTGAAAAGTTCTTTGTTCTCATATTTTTAGCAAACAATTTTCGAAAAATATTGGTGCTGTATTATAAAAAATTATTAATTTTAAACCAATTTATAAATTTGGCATAGACAGTTATTTATTGAATCTGTTAAACACAAAAATTATTAATGTTATAAATATGTATAAAAAATTTAATAACAAATATCTACATGGTACAAAGTTAAATGTTAAAGTAAAAGATTATATTTTTATATAATAAAATTCACAATATTAATTTTTACATATTTTTTCACGAATTATTTCACTCAGCAGATAAAAAATATACATGATTAAACGTTTAAAATATTTTTCAAAGAGCATCTTCGTGTTCTAAGTGGTTCAGTATTATGATCGAGAATTGATTCAATCATGCCATATAAAAGAGCGTCCGACTCTTGTTTGAGACAATTAACAGGGCTGATGGGCGTCTAAAAATTCTGACGACCCGCCTCAACGTCGTAGATCGATCCCGACATTATTCCTCGAGAATGGTCGTTGGCCGTGCCGCTTCATAAATCGCTCGATTTATCGTTGCTGACTCACCGCGATCCGTTCGCGGCACATTGCTGCCCGCAAGGGGTATCCACCGACCCCACCGGGCGGCACAGGTGAGCTATGGAGAAACCAGTCCTCGAAAATTGTCGAGGATATCCTACACGATAATCACGGACGTATAAGCATCCATAATCGAGCGGCAAAGTAGCATTACGCATTCTTCGCCGATATCGAATATCACTACCTTTATTTGCTAATAAACAATTTTTGTCTATATTGTGATCATATTGAAAATCTTGTATTTTCTTTTGCAATATGCAACATTAAATTATTTTGTACTTAGAAAAAAATCTGTACAAATACCTATTTTGCCCATATAATCTACTATCAATAAATTATCAATGTTTTATATTAAATATTATGACATAAAATTTAATAGAATTAAAAAAATTTTTTAGAAATTTCAAAAATATGAAGTACATAATTAAATTATAACGAAATAAAAATAAGAGACAAATGTAAATTCTGAAAGTGTTTCAACACGTTAGAAAAATGATGTTTATTATTATATAATACGATTTGTGAATTAAAATGAAATGTAATTTTATTGCTACATTTTTAACGAATATTTTTCTATATTTCTGATTAAAAATTATATACATATAATAAAAAAATGAAAATGTGTACTTACGTCAAAATCAGCAGTGCACTTTACAAGGTCCGAAGGATGACCGGCGTACAACTTCAAAGATTGTAGTAGACCCTTTAAATAAATAGCCAGGAAATAGTAGACTATCATACGACATATAAAGTTCATCGTCTTGTTTCACGAGTTTCGTTTCTGTTCCTTCTTTTCTCTTCTTCTAATAAGGAACACTATTCCCATTAAAACATTTTTATCTCTTTTATGAGATATCAGATTTTAAAGAAATAATGAAAACACACACATGAAATAAAAATGTATAACACGGCCATTTTACTTCATCGTGTATTAAGAGGGCTCTCAGAGCAGGATTATCAAGTTGTTATATTACAGAAATAATGATACATTAGATAGCATTTTGTTATTCTTCTTTTTTAGTCGCGACGCCTATCTTTTTAATGAAGAATCGCTTAATTCGATCAAATACTTGACATATTTGAAGGACGGCATAAGTTGATGTCTTCTGTTTGGTATATATGTATATAAAAACTTTTTAAATATATGCACGATAATAAATAATAGATTGCTTTTTGAAACTTTGTATATTATCAAGATTACCACAATTTATGATTCTCGTATTTTTCAATACACACTACTGGAGAAAATCAGTGATTTATCTCCGCACTAGCAACGATTCCAGTCTTCTATTTTGGAAAAAGGAACCGGCATACTGGGACGGTGCATCGATCATTCTGAAAGTGTTCACGGGATCGATCGATCTTTCTAAATGGCCCGCAGTAACGCGCTTTACGGTGCATTTTACGGTTTTCGGTCGGTGCAAAAGCTTGTTTCTTTTTTTTCCCACCGGTCGTGTTAGTCTACTGCAGTCGTAATACTTTTTTCGTTCACGAAACAACTGCCGCGGATTTGTACAGTTGAAAAGTCGCTCAGGGTTGTATCAGCAATGTGCTACAGTTATCTACTTCATTGATAAAATATTTTGTGAAGGGAAACAATAGAGCATAATGAATCATTATGTCAGTGTTTTAACTGTCAAAGAGAGAGATGCAAATAACAACCTTTAAAATTCCGAGAAAGGCTATGCAAATTTTTTCTCATAATATTCTATACCTTTGCGGAAAATTAAACCATATTCTGAACTTGTTAACATTGTATATATTATTAAATAGTTAATATTCATAGTTTTAGCCGTAATACAAACAAGATTGTCATAACTTTGCGGATTTTCATGCAATTAAAAATGTTCTGAAAACTCAAACGTGCACGTTGTGCGTAAATAAATAACTTTTTTAAACTCAATTGAGTTCTTTATTAATGTACAATTATTTAACAGTTTTTTATTGAACACTGTTTCACATAGGCAATAAAATTTAATTATCGAAAAACGAATAACAGTTTCAAATAGTAATTATTTCACAGCAGTGCACATTTGCATGAAGAGTCGCGAAATAATAGAAAAATGTCAAACATTTGTGCATATCGTGATAACGATTTCGATTGCGATCGATTTCTCCGACTTCTGATTACCTTCCGCTGCGAACGTTCTACGCGTGATGACTGAGGTTGACTGAGGTTGACTGCGTTATAGCATGTTAGTCGTCTTGGAAGTTAAAGCCTGTTATAAAGCGTGGGAGAGAAGGGGAGAATGTCTGTTCGTAGGAGTCGTTTATATTTTCGGCGTGTGCAATATCTAAAATATTTTTTCGATATACATATACGTCAATGACCTTTCTATTCTAGATAACTTTTCTATTTACATTAATATTGTAATAAATTCAATTATCTAAATTCTTGATGTAATTTTCATATTTAATGCTAAATTTTTATTTCATCAAAAATTCTCGTTGATACTTACGAACTAATAGTAAAAGCAAATAGATAAAAAATCTAATTCAAGATGTTATTTATTTCAATACAAAATAAAAGCCACAATACTGCGTTATGTTCTTTCTTAATTTATTAAGTCAGCATCAATTATTTTACTTAGGCAAAAAGAATATGCGATCCTCAATTGGAGTTGGACAAATTTAATCCTGCGCGCGAAAGGAGTCTGTAGTGTGCGAATTGAGAGCGGAGATAACAAGAATAAGCTTAATTTTCGTCGAGTTATTAGAGCACGAGGAGAGGGGAATTGAGTTAGTTGAGGGCATATACCGCGAGGATTATTGTACGGCCTGTAAAATCTAGACTGGACCGCATGATCAAATATTTAGAAGAATTTTCCGGGCATATCAGATTAAGAAGAGAAGAGAAGAGAAAAGAAAGAGGGAGAAAGATAGAGAGAGCGAGAGGGGGAAGGGGGGAGAAAGGTAAAGAGAAAGGGTGCGTATGTGTCCTGAACATGTTTTATATATAGCAAAGTTCCTTGCAGCTGCTCACTTCAAAAAGCCCGGTCAGTGAGTCCACGGGAAAGTCTGTGAAACTTTAACAGCGTCTTAAATACTTAACTCTCGCCCGCATCGGTTCCAAACTTAGCGATGGAATTACCGTAACTCCTTCAGTTACAAATAACCCTCATATATGAGGTCTTAATATCATAATTTATTGTGATGAATGCGAACAATAAGCTGACTATATAGATTAAATATTTGTATATGAGTAAAATCGATCAAATATTCTTAATTTACTATTCGATGTTACTATACCTTCGAAAGATATAAAGAGGATGTAGTAGGAGATACCTTTATCCTTGATTTTAACTCATTATCCATTAAAATTTATTAGATGCTTTTTTGTGAATATTATATATTTGATTTTACGAATTCTACCTTTATATTGTTAGACAGCATTAGTGAATGACTTAGCAACATGGATAATATTTTAATTGTAATAATACAAAATAATGTTTTGACTTTATTGATCAATTCTTATTTTCTCTATAGTTTCTCTAAGAAGCAACAAAAAATTACACACGCACACATATGTATATAAAATAAAATTAATAATAAAATAATATGTTTACCGACTTTATTTAGAATGCAATCTATGAATTTGTTTCTATTTATATTTTTTTCTATTTATATATTTTAATTTCTTATTCTTGTTAGTTAAGCATGTTATTGTTGTTTTATTAATATTTTGTTTTTATTGGATTGTTAATATTGATGCTTAATTATATTCTTATTGGAAATTTGATTAGTTTTAATCGAAATAAATCGTAATTGGCAATATGAATTGAGAAAATAGGTCGCGACTAAATCTGTGGAAAATTTGCATGTTGCTAAAGTATTCAATTATTGATAAATAAATGCGGCCATTCTCTTTAATAAAATGAAAATTTATGCTGAGTAAGAGAACGATGATAACGAATGCGTTAATTTCGGCGCTAAGTAAAATATTCGCATGGAAGAGTACATTTTAATGTTACACATACAATTGATTGCAACTGTAAATGTCAGTTTGTAATATTCCTCGTGGTTAGTATGAGAAATGCACTCACGATGCGCGAATTAACCGAAATTATGATTTACGTACGTGTATTTTGGATTGTATTATGTTAAACAATACTGATTGCTACTTAAGCGTTAAATGATTAAGCTAATACGTAGGAAACGTTTATTCAAATGACAATAATTCAGTCCGCTGAATCAAGATAAACATATTTTCAAAGCTATTCACATTACGTTAATAATGTCAGTCTGTAACTAATAAATGAATTTGATAAATCAATTTTAATTCGTAGCTTTTATTAATTTAAAGTATTTATTTAGCGAATCAATCAATTTTTGATATATCAGAGTCAAGTTTTCGTGTTTATAAAGTTAGCACGGCATTTTATTAATTTTCAAAAAATAATTAATATTCCGGTAGCACTTTCCATTGTTCTACTGTTCTTTTAAAAATAAATTTTCACTAAATGTTCTACACTTTTAATATAAAAAAATAAAATTGCCGTGCCTAACTTCACGTTCCAGCACGGCATGACTTCCTACTAAAAAAAGTACTAGATGCCATCGAATATTACGGTACCTGTCAAGTGTTTCCGTTTCTTTTAAGTTAGATTGATTATTATATGACATTTCAGGACAAAATTCCAACAATTAATAATTTTGACACAAGTTGACAACATTTGACAGATGTAATATTTGATGGCATCCGCGGTATGTATTTTAGAGGAAATTATGCTGGAACATGAAGGTAGCACGGCATATTTTATTTTTAATTTTTTGATATTAAAAATGCAGAATATTTTGTTATTTTTGAAAGAACAATAGAACAATGAAAAGTGCTACCCGAATAATCATTATTTGTTGAAAATTAATAAAATGCCGTGCTAACTTTATAGACACCAAGTTATGTTCTTTTAAGTAAGTATTTCTATATATGAATAAGTCAATTAAAAATATGATATACATTAAAAAATAAAATGTTAAATTTAACTTAAAGACATACAGTGGGCTTTCTGAGACATATACAAATGTTAATTTTAACATTTTGTGTTAATTTTAACATTTTTGCATGTCTCAGAAAATCCCGTATAATACGTTTAAATTAAAATTAACATTTTATGTTTAACAATGTACAAATATCTTGTTATATTAACCATGAAGAACATTATAATTTTTTCTGAAAGAAAAAAAAAGAAATAATTAAAAGGATTAAAAGAAACTTCAAGTTATTCATGTTGATACTCATGAGCGTGGGTGAAATTAGTTTCACAAGTCAGATTATTATGAAGCCATATTTAAAGGATTTGTTCACGGATAGCACAAATTCTATTAATAATTAATAATCGCGGATAATGAAAAGGAGAGAAAAGGAAAACAAGCCGTCTAGTTAATTATTTATATTATTTGCCATAATATATTTCCCAGTATGATTCCAAACACGGGATCCTATATACTTGATCCTCTTAAATACATTTTACAGGTAAACTAATACTGGCTTTTAGTGCATCTGTATTGTTCTGATAGCATTGCGGGAGAATAAAGCTCATACCATTTCGCATCTACATTTTTCTCTTTCAAACCTCTGTTCCCGTCGTTTCCGAATCTGAGAATGCAACGAGGCATCAGTTCGACACGCGCATTTTTGACATGATATGACGTCTGTCCATTAAATCTCACCAGTCGAATATCTCTTCGTCACGTTTCGTTTAC